TATCTTTATTCAACGAGGGTAGCACATAACAGTATAATGAACAACTGATGACCCAGTGGCCTCAACTAATAAAAATTTAAATATATAATATATTTATAAAATTTTTGAGATATAACGCGTGCATTGATTGGCTGGCTACCGTGTTTATATCAGAGAACAGAGACACCCTTGTATGAAATCATTCAAAAATATTTTATAAAAGCGATATTAAACATCCGCTTGTGTCTACATACTGTGATATAAACACGTCTCTGGGAGCTGTAGAGCACTCGAGAAGTCAAAGAAACACTGCTACGCCTCGTGTTTCTCTACAACATCTCTCTTTTGCTCTACAGTGTACAGTTCCCATCGTGTTTATGTCACAGTATATAGACATGCATGCCATTTTATATTCCTTAAATACAAAAAGAAAAATAAATAAATAAATAAAGGATAAACATTACGATTAGACAAGTTTGAAATTTTCATACTTGCTAAGGCAAGATTAATAAATACATTTTGTTGATAGAGATCGATAAAATAATAATAAATAAAGATTAATAAAATAAATGAGCATTTCATACTTGTTTGTATCTTTTAGGGATTTGGGAAGCCGTGGTTCAGGCAAGGGTCATGTCAGGTTTGTACCGTTATTCCAAACATTATTATGCAATTAATTTTTATTTGATGTTAAAAAATTCTTTACTATTTTGTGAGTAAGCCAGCTCAGGAGCCATTACTAGGAGCATCCATCTCCCACTAGGTCTGTGAGCCAACATATTCCCAGATCAGGAGCCCATTACTAGGAGCATCCATCTCCCACTAGGTCTGTGAGCCAACATATTCCCAGATCAGGAGCCCATTACTAGGAACATTTATCTACTATAGTGGGTATGTGAGCCAACATATTCCTAGATCACGAGCCCATTACTAGTAGCATCCATCTCCCATACTGGGTCTGTTAGCCAACATATTCCTAGATCAGGAGCCCATTACTAGTAGCATCCATCTCCCATACTGGGTCTGTGAGCCAGCTTATTCCCAGATCAGGAGCCCATCTCTAAGAGCATCAATCTTCCATACTGTATCTGTGAGCCAGCATATTTATTATTCCCAGACCAGGAGGCCATTACTAGAAGCATCCATCTCCTAAACTGCCGCTGGCAGTTTTTGAGGCGGCTTCAAATTTTGAAATTTTATTTAATTCTTTAAGGCAAAACCACAGTGAGATTGAGAAAAGAAGGCGTGACAAAATGAACACCCACATTCATGAACTGTCAACAATGATCCCTATGTGCACTGTCATGTCACGCAAGCTAGACAAACTGACTGTACTCAGGATGGCTGTCCAGCACATGCGAGCTCTAAAAGGTAACTAACTCACAGATCGAACCTTGAAACATCTTGTGGGCTGATCAAAGCCTTGCAGGGCATGGCTAACTCACAAATTTGATTTGAGATTTAGAGAGGAAAACTGGAGAACCCGAAACATTGCACGCAATATTGCACGCAACAAGACTGTTGCAGCGTGTATCTACCCCTGAAACTTGTTCCACGCAACGTTGCTTGCAACAAATCTGAAGTTGAATCGCGCTCTACTCTTGCAACATTGCGCGCAACAAATTTCATCATGTGAACATGGCTGCAACGTTACCTGGAACATTTTGAAATTTCCAGCCAATCAGCTTGCACCAGATTTATAACTGCTGACCAAATATCTTAGCATAGCAGGCTGACACAAGCGATGTTGCGTGATTTTGTTGCAATGTGTGTCACGCCGATTTAAATTTGTTGCTTGCAATTTTGCGTGCAATGTTGCACCGTGTGTCCGCGCCTTATGTAACGTTACGCGTCACCACGCTATAGATCGTTTTCTCTAAGGTTGCGTGCGCATCCAATCTTTACGGGCCACAATTACATAACTGAAAAACAAAAATTCAGTAAAATTAAAAATGAGCACATTTCACTTTTGAAACAGGTGAAGCGTCTTCCACGGAATCCAACTGCAAGCCTTCATTCCTGTCAGATGAAGATTTTAAGAATCTCATCTTGGAGGCAGCTGATGGGTTTTTGTTCGTTGTGGCTTGTGACAGAGGTCGAATCTTGTATGTTTCAGATTCTGTCCAAAACGTACTCTCGCAGTCTCAGGTATTGTATCCATCCAGCACAGTAGTGGAAACAGTCTAACAGAGCTTTTAAAGTGCCTATCACCCTTCTGACAATATTCACAGTGTTGATTCTACATGGGGTAAGATGTTGAATATCCCGAAAAAAATTCATAGTTTGAGTACGCCTTCTTGAAGTTATAAAGGTTTTTCCATGTCATATGCTAATTATGTGACGTATGAGCACTCAATCTATGGAAATATTCCAGATTATTCAGCATCTTACCCCATGTAGAATCAATACTGTGAATATTGTCAGAAGGGTGATAGGCACTTTAAGTTGTGGCGTATTTCCGGGTGCAACTGCTCACCGCTAAAATACAGCGAAAGATTTTCTCAGTGGTTAAGCCTCCATCGCCTCCAAGTGCACCTGAAACAATTTAGAACTTAGGACAACTGAAATTCGTTAATGAAGGGGGAAAATCTTGCTGCTTTTCGATTTGGTCCAAGAAGTCCCTTTTTAATAAACTCTATAGTGATTAAATAACTATATACTAGGTATATATTTGTTTTCTCTTTCGGAAGGGTTTCGTATGATTGTTAAAGTTCAAGCTGAGGGTGTGTCGTGATCTTGGCAATACCATGTTCGAACATTTTTATTTTGCATTCGTCTTGCGCGCTTTTATTAAGGACATTCGCGGGCATTGTTTGTGCGCATCTGGTCTGCGCATATGGCGTGACGGCGTGACCTGTGTTTTTTTCAATACCAAACTCCGTCACGCTCGTTTCAAACACGATTTCGATCTCCTATATCTGAAAAATAACATCGGTGACTTCCATTTTTTGTTTTATTCTTGGGGTGCATGTTACGTTATAGCCACAATGTTGGTTGGCTATACAAAGCATTCCTCTTTAAGCTGCTCTTGGCTATACAAAGCATTCCTCTTTAAGCTGCTCTTGTTGGATCAACCAAGATGGCGGCTGTTGGTCACGTGGTTGCACCCCAAGAATGATCTTATTTCACACGAAGTTTGAGAGGGGGGGGGGGGGGGGGGGACGACACATAAGAAACGCATTTGCCCGCGAATGTCTTTAAGCACAATTCAGTACTAAGATAGTGCCATGGGATGTGTTGTATCGTTTCACAGTCAACTATTCCGCCCGAAAGAAATATTGCTTTTCTTTTCAATGATATTTCCAAGATGGCGTTCCCTAAAACAGCCCCATAATGCATTGCAATGCCAGCTCGACCTATTTTTCCCTCGATCTCCGAATGGCTAATATAGATAGCTAGTATAATATCTATAGATCTTTTTGTCTAAGTTACTGTTGTTTCGTTTTCAGTCTGATTTGGTTGGTCAAAGTTTTTTCGATCTTGTTCACCCTAAAGATGTTACCACCGTGAAGGATCAACTCTCTTGTTTTGATACAGTACCACGGGAAAAGGCTGCAGAAAAAACCGCTTCTTCGCCGAAACAGGAAGATAAACCAGTAAATATGATAAAGCTTTTTGGTTTCCCTTTTTTCTTCTTTGTTCTTTTGTTTGTTTGTTTGTTTGTTTGTTTGTTTGTTCGTTCGTTCGTTTGTTTGTTTGTTTGTTCTTTTGTTTGTTCGTTTGTTCTTTTGTTTGTTTGTTTGTTTGTTCTTTTGTTTGTTTGTTTGTTTGTTCGTTTGTTTGTTCGCTTGTTTGCCTGCTTGCTTGCTCGTTCGCTCGTTCATTCGCTCGTTCGTTCGTTCGTTTGTTCGTTCGTTCGTTTGCTTTTTGCTTTTTTTCATTTTTTGTTTTTGTTATAATGGTGTGTGTTTTTTAACTATTAATTCTCTCATTTTCGTCCTTCCATTCCTTTCCCTCTCATCCACCGTACCCTTCCTGCTATTCTTTCGTTTGCTCTTTCCTTTGCCCTTTCCTTCGTTCTTCCATCTTTTTCCCTTCGTTCTTTTGCGCACGAGAAGGCACACCAATATGGACCAACTTAAACGAAGAACATTATTCTCGAGATAATTACACGTGATCTGAAATGGGAAAGCATTACGTCGAGCTATAACGCCTAAATTTAAGGGGTCTACAGTTTCATTCCTTTGGGGTTTTTTTTGTTTTTATTATTATTATTATTTTTTATTTGATCAAAATTGCCTGACTGACTCTCACTCCCCGCTGTATTATTTTTGACAGCGATCATTCACATCTCAGAATCAAACTATGAATTCTTTATCTTATAGACAAACAAACCTATGTGCACTGGTGCACGTCGATCTTTCCTCTGCCGCATGAAAATTGGCAGTAAATCGACAAAAAAAGGAAAAGGAGTCGAAGATGGTAACACTGACTTCTGTATAATGAATCGAAAGAGTAAAAGTAAAGCGCTGTCTACAAATGATAAGAAGAAACATATTGTGGGTAAGCCGAAAATTCTTTTTTGTTGTTGTTGGTCGGTCTAGTGTTCGCTCAGCCATTGTCGATTTTTTTTCGCAGCAAACTCGTTAAAAATGATTGCAGCCCTCTTCCCTTCCACAGTAAGAAATTCACGACTCTCCTATTAAGTCAACAAGGACTTTCGTGAGCATAAAAAGGTTTGACGCTTCACAAAGGTTCACATTTTTACTGATGACCTTCCCCTGTGAAGCTCCAGCCTTCCTAATATTAATTCAATAAAAAACATACCTTCCCTAACATTCAATTGTTATATTCGCAGTTCATTTCACTGGTTACTTAAAATCATGGCCACCTTCTGGGTATTCATTCGACGATGAAGACGAAGAGCAAGACTCTAGGAACTTGAGCTGTCTTGTTGCTGTGGGCAGACAGGTTAGAATAGCTGATGAAAATACCGACGCAAACAATCAAGAGTTTCCCGATGAATTCGTGTCTCGGCATAGCACAGATGGGAAGTTCATCCACGTCGATCAAAGGTGATATTCTAACGACCACCACCCTTCTAGATTAGTTGTTAAGACCGTCGGTCTGTTGTGCGGGAGGTCGTGGTTCAAGCCTCGGCTGGACCAACACTAATTAGAAGCTTTTTAGGGTTAGATTGGCCTTTAGGTTACGCTTTGCGTCCTATTGTGCCACTTGTATGGAGCTGTCATAATAATAATAATAATACAGCTTCTCATTAATCCCATATAGGTAACTGTCCAATTATTTTCTTAATTGGACAGGTCTCGGAATTTTCCTCGTCCAATTATTTCATAATTGGACAGCATGGAGTCCTATTACATATAATAATAACAATAATGATGATGATGATGATAATAATATTAATGAATATAATAATAGTTTATAATTTAATCAATTCTTTTACAAGTTCCAATTGTTTCTTTTTCTTTTTTTCAGAATCACAGCCATGTGTGGGTACCTACCACATGAGTTGATAGGGAACTCTGGATACGATTACTTTCACCCAGATGACCTTGACATCACCGCGAAAAGCCATAAGAGTACCTTACTAGGAAAGACTACCACCACCCTTCCCTACCGATTTCTCTGTAAAGGAGGTAAGATTATGGAAAAAAAAATATTTGAAAATTATTCCCCGAAGGCAAAGTAACTAAGTCGAGCGACGATATAAATATTCACTAGGGCGTATAATTGTTTTAGTAGTGATTGCCCTATTTCGGTATGACGTCACATCAAAACAATCTATTGTTTAAACGCAAAGGATTATGGTCGTCGGAGATGGTCGAATCAACGCAAATTCACCGAAAATTGTTCTAAAACCCGTATCAATCCACGAAGAGAAGTAGAATAGCCAGCAAACGCTCAGAATATTCTTTAGTACATATTAACACATAATATATCTGAAAACCAGGCCATTTTAGATTAAAATGTTTCGCTAGGAGCAAATTTTGTTGAATTTTCTATTGAATTTGGCGATTCTATCCCCCACATAAACAAGCAGTGACGTCATAGTGAAATAGGGCAATTGATTATGGTCTTGGAGAGACACAGGGAACCCGGCTATATTTTTTTGCTTCTTTTAGAAAAGTAACTTTGCTCTTTGTGGGTTTCCTGTGTTTTGATCGTTTCCTATTACATAAGCTGTGATCTGCKCTGTGATCAGATCGGCGCTGTAAACTGATAGCCGATTAAATTCAAATCAATAACCGTTGGTGTTTTGTTTCTTATGGGTTGCCTGTGGTATGTAACACTTTCTAGTAAAGAGTGCGTTACCAACGGTTATTGATTTGAATTTAATCGGCTATCAGTTTACAGCGCCTATCTGATTACAGCGCAGATCTGATTACAGCTTATGTAATAGGAAACCGATCGCAACACAGAAAACCCACAAAGAGCAGAGTTACTTTTCTACATTTCTAAAAAAAAAGCAAAAAAATATAGCCGGGTTGCCTGTGGGAGAGATAAATATTTAGAAATTATTCCCCGAAGGCAAAGTGAATATAGTCGAGCGACGAGGTAAATATTCCCCGATATTCACTAGGGCGAATAATTGTTTTACATATTTTTAACACGAGTGAATATAATAGATAATGGAGAGAGGATTTTTTTTTTCAAATTTCATTAATCTCTACAAGCGGCACAAATCAACAAACAAGCGCGCATGCGCGTACTATATTCAAATGTAGGTGAATATAACAGCATAAGACGTAAATTGTGACCAATGAGCGCGCCCGATTTTTTATATTCTCTTGTGTAAAAATACTAAAATGTGTATATTTTCACAGGTCATTATATTTACCTTTGTACTAAGTCCAATGTCTTTCGAAATCCTTGGACCAAAGAACTCGAGTTTATTATTTGTATCAATTCAAAATAGTAAGTATGTTTAAAAATACATGAGGTTTTTTACGGTTTGAAGCACGATGTGTTGAAAACATTTTTGACGTTTCATACCTCATTTTGATGAAGACTACCACAGCGTAGACGAAGCGTCAAAAAATTTTTTAACACATCATGCTTCAAACCGTAAAAAACCTCATGTATAACCTATATGCAACACGAAAGCCTCAAGACTACCATTTACTATTATTATTATTATTATTATTATTATATTTTTTTAAACAAATTCCATGAGTACCAGGTGATCCCGTTTTGACAGCCCATCAAAAACCAACCAATCATCGCGCAGGAAGAAATCTGATCAGGCGGTCCATCGAAAAAAATATGGCGACCGAAGTCAGAAAAAATTACTCTGAATCTTTGCTTCCCTAGCTACGTTATGGACTAGCAATACATTTAAAATTCTGCCTATTCTTACGACGATTACCTATGGGTCAGCAACCGTTTACCGTTTACTACTGAAGCACAGGTCTCAACCAATCAAAGTGCATGTACTATCTAAGCTATATTATAATTAGTTTTGGAGATGACAAAGATCAATTTCGTCTTGTATCATAAGTTTTGATATTAACTTATAGAAATTGCTTTTATAGACCCCTTGCATGTGACGTCAAAGCAGATCGAACTGGGGGACAAAACAAAAGAATTCCAATCTCCTGAGAATTGGAACCTATTGTTTTGTTCCCCAGATTGAGCTGCATTCTGACATGCTGCAAGGGGTCTATGCTGAGAATAATCTTCTTAGGGCACTGTTGTCCCTCTTGCAGTGATCCCGCAACAGACCAACCTACACGACCGACTTCCCTACAAAGTCATCCACACCAAAGATTGATCCTGCCAGCTCCGCAGACAATAGCAAGTGTCCATGGATCTGATAGCACGTCAAGTCGTAGGTTGAACATCAAAGAACTAATGGCGACAATACAATCGCAACCACAAGATCAAGGTAAAAAAACCTTCAGATTTTATGTATCGATGCCGGCCCTGAAAGCACTCTGAGCTGATCTATAAGTCAGTGCATGCRGCTAACTCAAATATCAAACCCTGAAACAACCTCTAGGATGATCTAAGTCAGGGCACAGCTAACTCACAAATCACTCCCTGAAACAACCTCTGGGCTGATCTAAGTCAGGGCACAGCTAACTCACAGATTGAACCCTGAAGCAACCTCTGGGCTGATCTAAGTCAGGGCATNGAACCCTGAAGCAACCTCTGGGCTGATCTAAGTCAGGGCATGGCTAACTGGGCTCACAGATCGGATCCTGAAATAACCTCTGGGTTGATCTAAKTCAGGTCATAGTCAACTTACAGATCGTAGGGCACGGCTAACTCTTCTCTTCTCTGGCCTTCCAGTTACAGTTCTTACAGTTCTTTCTTCAAACAATCCTTTTAAGCGTTGTGTCGTCCCGATCTCTTTCCTACTCTTTTTTCCATTTCTTCATTTCTTACCTTATTTTCATCCTGTACTAGTTAAGACAAACATCGTACCTCGCCCGTTGGTGCCGCCGACCACAAGGGAAGAAGATGATCCTAATGCAGATCCAGCGGCTTCCAAGATTGGCTCCCTCATTGCTGAAACCATACATTGGCAGGAAACAGCAAGCAAAAGGTATTATCTACGKAAGTTAGTCTCATCGACAGTAGTCCCTCTTTGCTTATAGATTGMTGTACCTTTTTTTACGAGATGCGTGCGGTGTGTAGATTATTTCGACTGCTGGACTGGGATGATCAAAGTCAGGGCATGGCTGACTCACAGATAGAACCCTGTAACAACCTCTGGGCTGATCTAAGTCAGGGCA